TACTGAAGCGCCATCTCTATGACTACAGTACTATCACTTCATTACTGTCGGAGAGACCCAGCTAGTTTCTTTTACAGTCTTTAAAGTAGGAACACTGCATTTTATCACATCTGTTCCTCCTTCTACAATCATCAGTTCAGATAAAACAAGCCCACCTGTCTGACAAGAGGGATAGTCACCTTGGCACACACCACAGGTAAGGTGCATAGGTAATGACCCATCCAAGTCAGGCTTCTCCACTGCCAGGGGCCTGATGGTCAGGTTTTGGTTTGGGTGGATGACTATGTTCTTGCCTCTGGAGAGAACATTCTAAAACGTACTGATAAACTGCAATGACTTTAACCACAGCCATGGAGACGTGCTGAGAAAGCACCTGGCTATCCGTTCGTGCCAAGTACCCCCCGCAGCATCTCCATCTGATGTGCAGGATACTGGAAGGTGACGGCCTGGGCATAGCACGACCGTCGGCACGAGCGCAGGGTGGTGAGAAGGGTTCTCCTTCCCTGCTGCTAAATAAGAAAACAGAAGGCCTCTCCAGATCATAGGGAAATCAGAGCTATTTGGTCATACTTGAGTTTCCCCCCTCCATGTCCAACTCTGAAATTCCAGTGAAATATGAGATAAATTGTAAAAACTGACATTAAAATTCGACACACAAAAATTCAGTGCAGCCATAAGCAGGCACCGAAGACGTGTGGTGGACACGCAGGCAGCCGTCCCCGGAGCCCCTTCTGTGAGCTGGCCCCCCAGCCGTCTCTGCTCTCTGTGGCAGTAAGAAAGACGCCCCGTGCACTGCTGTGTGAGAAATGTGGTGACCCCCCAACAACTGAATCTGAGATTCGGGAGGGAACTGCTCAAAAATGACTCCCTACCTAGTGTAGGCCATTAAAGCATCACAGCACTCGGGGGGCGAGTGAGCAGAACCAAAACCCATTCACAGCGGCGGGGACGCAAGGACAGGGATGGGGCTCTTTGGAAGGCAATTTTAAGTGACAGCAAGAGACCTGACTGTCACAGGTGTCTGTATATTACAAGTAATGGTGATAATAAAAGCCCCAAAAAGGCGACGTGCAGAACCTCAGGACTCTGCAAAGCTAAAAGTGATGCAACCCACAAGCCCAGTCATGCAAAGTGAAGTAAGAATCAAAACGACGGTCAGAATAAGCAGGGGAAAGGTCCAAAGCAGGCCCAAGGAAGAGCAAAGGGCTCCGCTTACTACTGGATGCAAAAAGCACAGCAGGCTAATGTTCTATTTCGGGGAAAAGGCCTTACTCTTTGCAGTCTTAGCTTGTTCTTCTCTGTAGAACCTCTGATGCATTTCTTAGTTATCTGAAATGAAAGACATTGACAGTTAACCTACATCTTTTCAATCACATTAACGTGTTAAGCGCATCGAACATTCCTCAGGGGAAGGGAAGCAGGGAATGACAGCCCCATACTATTAAGAACTTCTTGCCAAACAAACAAACAAAAACCACCTTTCCGGGTGACCAGCTTCCACCAACAGGGCCAGAATGGAGCTGTGGGATCACAAACTCAAACAAGTGTGCGCGTGTGTGTACCTTGTGGGGAAAGGGGAGACTGGGGAGGCAGATAACAAAAACGAATGAAGTGGAGCCAAGCACAGGAAAAACAAGATAAGCTCAGGGGCCGGGGTGACTACAGGGAGTGGTAGGATTTGCAGCAAGCTAGAGGGCACCCCCACCACCTGTCAGTCTGTTGTGCTGTGGGGGCTTGCCTGCTGCTGGGATGCTGGAAGCTATGCCACCAGTATGTCAAACACCAGCAGGGTCACCCATGGTGGACAGGTTTCAGCGGAGCTTCCAGACTAAGAGGGACTAGGAAGAAAGGCCTGGCGATCGACTTCCAAAAAAATCAGCCAACGGAAACCCTGTAGGTCACAAAGCTCCAATCCACAACCGATCACGGGGATGGTGCAGGACTGGGCAGCATTTCGTTTTTGTTGTGCATGGGGTTGCCGTGAGTCGGAACTAACTTGACAGCAACCAACAACAACAGAGAGCATCTGTCCTGTCCAGAGGGTACCGGCCTCTTACAGGAATGCAGAGAAGGTGATGCCGGGAATTTTCTGTTATTTTTGAGGTACTGAAATAATCAACACCATGTAACTCAAATGCAGCATGTCTAGAGGCTGCCTTCTCTATGTGACACCCATCCGCGCATTCTGCTTTTTAGAACGCGCACGGAAAGCCCAAGAAGAAAGGTCAATTTCCCACAGGTGGCATCTGGTCTAAGAGTCCCTGTGTTCTGGACTACGATATTCTCTATTGCCCTGCTTCAAACTGAGCGCCAGCCACCAGGAACGACCAGGTTAAACGAAGACACATGGTTAGACCCACTCGCTATTCTGGCTGAACGATCCTACTTAGGAGTATGAGCAGGGAACTCAGACACTCGGCTTCAGCTCTCTCTGGGGCAGGGAATCCTGAAAACCAAACTCATCAGACTCAACTACAGGAAGAGAGAGTTAAGGCTGGAAGGAAGGAACTCCCCAGGTGCATTTTAGACTCCTAGAGGCAAGGGGTCCCTGGGTGGCGCAAACAGTGGAGCAGCTGACTACTAGCCAAAAGGTTGGCAGTTCGAGCACACCAGAGGTGCCTTGGAAGACAGGCCTGATGACAGGGATGGAAAGATCAACCATGTGTGCAGAGTAGGTCCTGGCCTTGAAAACCCTGGGGAGCACAGGTCTACCTGCGCACATGGGGTCGCCAGCGGTTGGGATCAACTCGACGGCAACTAACAAGAAGAGGCAGCAAAAAAATGAGACTGAAGTTGAACTGAAAAACCAAAGGCCCATTTCCCTTAAGACAGTCTGACATATCCATGAAACTATGCCACAGGGATGTCTTTGTCTGGGAACTCCTAAACCCTGACTCAGACCCCTCACAGAATAAAACCTATAGACTAAAGGTCACTGAGTAAGCATAGGGCTGACAGCCAACTATTGTAATTGCTGTCAATAAGTTGTACCCCTGTAAAAAGTTGAACTGGCTAAAGTTGTGTGATAGATATATTTAGAACAACAACAACAACAAAAGGAGCTGTTGAGGCTACTTACATACAATCAAACACTCATGGGATTTGGTTCCCTGGTTTGGAGGTTTAGGGTCATGGTTTCATGGGACATCCCAGTTAACTGGCCTAGTAACGTGTTTAGTGCCTCTGTTCTACCTCCTAGTTCGCTGTGTAGTGCCTGGGGTTGTAAAAGCTTGTAAGCTGCCATCCAAAGCACAACAGTTGGTCTCTGTTCGCCTGGAGCAATAGAGGAAGAAGAGGAGTCAGGAATAGGAGGAGGATCAGGAATGTATGGCTAGCTGCCTCCATGAACTGCCTCCTTTGCAGTGAGACCAGAACTGGGTGGTGCCCGGCTACCACTACTAAACATTTTGACCAAAGATTCTACAGAAGATCCTGATCAAAGGGGAGAAAATGTAAAACAGAATTTCAAATTCTCATGGAATCCAGATATTCTGGAATCATGAATGCTGGATGAACCACTGAAACTATTGCCCTGAGATAATCTTTAAACACTAAACTAAAAATATCCCCAGAAACTCTTCTTAAAACCAAATGATAGTTTAGTTTAACTAGTAAAGAATGTCGACCCTGAGCATTGTGCTCCTTTAAGATCTATCTATACGGGATCAAACTGACAACATCAACTTGAAAGATTAGATAGGAACCTTAGGGGGCAGTGAGTTTAAGCTAATGGGGGAGGAACAATTCAGAAAAGGAGGATGAGAACGGTTGGCCAACTTGACGAAAGTAATCAGTGTCACTGAATTGTACCTGTAGAAACTGTTGAATTGATATATGTTTTGCTGTGTACATTCTGAACAACAGCAACAAAATAAATTATTAAAAAAATAAAATAACACTACGACTAACGTATTCAAGAAGGCATCCTTCTCACTCAGAGCGTGCCATGCTTTTTGGACGGAGCCTTTCCTTTAGGGAACCGTCAACCACAGTGTGGTCAGAAAACCACGTTTTCCAGTGTCGGTGGGGTAGCCCGACTGGCCACGTGATTGTGCCGCGTTTTCAGCCGTCTTTACTGAGCATGCGCCAAGCAAAATGCCAGCCACCAGAGGAGTCCTACCAATGTCTAAGAGAAAGCCTCTGACTCCTGAGAATCCATGCTGCCTGCCAGGTCTCTGGACCCCACCCACACACTGAAGTAATGATGGCACAATGTCGAAGCTGCTGTATCTCTGCATGGTCGTCCTTTGTGCTCAAAGATGACAGCAGCAAGCGTGACTGCCAGACTCCTTCATGAGAGGATGTGGGGGAAAAAAAACCACACTTCTTCTTGTCCGTACTTGCTCTTGGATTTCGGCTGCAGCATCTGGTGCCTTTGCTGGGAGTCCAGGAATAACGCAGTTGACACGACTACCGGGAGCTGGTTTAACAGCATCTAACTGGAACGGTTCCTATTTAATTTAAAACAGGATCTCTATTGCTTTACTAAACACTCAGATAAACCTTGTTGTTGTTGTTGGGTGCCCTTGAGTCAATTTTCAATGCATAGCAACCCCATGTAACGGAGTAGAACTCCCCCACAGGGTTTCCTAGCCTGTAATCTTTAAGAGAGCAGATCGCCAGGAGCCACTGGTGGGTTTGAACTGCCGACCTTTCAGTTAGCAGCAGAATGCTTCACCGTTGCACCCCCAGGGCTCCTTAGACGGACCTTACTTGTCTAATTTTATCTTCTTGAAATTTGGCCCAAGTGTTTATAAAATCATAACTCTCAAATTTATATGCCACACAGCCACATTTTACCTACCTGGAGCTCAGCCAAATGGTAACCTCACAGCCAAAAACATGACCAAGGATCCCAAAAAGAAGCTAAAAATAAAAAATCCACTATCCAAAAAACCCAACTACCTCAACTCATAAAGAAAGATGTGCCTGTGAGTTAAAATTCCTGCAGTTTTTTCAGAATTCTGTCAGAGCCTATTTACTCTGATTTTATACATAAAAAACCAGTCACCGTCGAGTCCACTCCGACTCATGGTGACTCCCTGTGTGTCAAAGTAGAACTGTGATCCACAGGGTTTCAAATGGCAGATTTTTCAGAAGCAGATCACCAGGCCTTTCTTCCAAGGCACCTCTGGGTGGACTCAAACTTCCAACCTTGCAGTTAGCAGCCGGTGCGCTCACCATTTGTGCCACCCAAGGACTCCAATTTTACACATGAACAAAAAACAAACCCGCTGCCGTCAAGCTGATTCCGACTCATAGTGATCCTACAGGACAGAGTAGAACTACCCCATAGGGTTTCCAAGGAGCGGCTGGTGGATTTGAACTGCCAACTTTTTGGTTAGCAGCTGTAGCACTTAACCACTATGCCAGCAGGGTTTCCATTTAAGGGTATCTAATTTCTGAATGCCCAGCAGAAAGGCAGCAGCAAACGAGCCAAGGAAGAGGCTGCTATGGGTAGGCCCAGCAGCAGCAGCTACAAGCCCAACAGCAGAGGGAAAAGATAAAGCCAACACTGGTCCAACCACACTGAGTGTGAGTGGCAGGGATGAATGCACGTGTTCCTAGAAGCCAGCAATGCTGCTTGCCCAACAGCCCAAGGAGGCGAGGACAAGGACACATGTTACAGCTGCTGTATGTGAAGGACAAGCATCGGAACCACAGGAACGCCTGTCAGTAAGAGAATGACTGCAAGGTAATGGATTTCTCTTTACATATGGCCTTTCTGGCCCTGGGTCTGTATTTCCGCCAAGATGATTTGCTAGGCCACAATCATGCAAAGGGATTGGACAGTTTACTATGCAAATAAGGTGCGTAAAACCCTTGCAGGGATTGGCCAATCTACTATGCAAACAGAGTGCACAAAACCACCCGACAGGTCTGAGTGACTTGCTTATATAAGCAACTAACCTGTCTTAGTTATCTAGTGCTGCTGTAACAGGAATACCACAAGCAGGTGGCTTTATTCTCTAACAGTCTAGTAGGCTAAAAGTCTGAATTCTGGGAGCCGGCTCTAGAGGAAGGCTTTCTCTCTGTTGGCTCTGGAGGAAGGTCCTTGGCATCAATCTCCCCCTAGACTAGCAGCTTCTCCACACAGGGACCCTGGGTCCAAAGGACGCACTACTCTCCTGGCTCTTGCTTCTTGGTGGTATGAGGTCCCTCACTCTCTGCTCGCTTCCGTTTCCTTTTATCTCCTGTAAGATAAAAGGTGATGCAGGCGACACCCCAGGGAAACTCCCTTTACATTGGATCAGGGACTTGACCTCATTAAGGATATTACATCCCACCCAAATCCTCTTTAACATAATCTAACATTGCCTCATTAACCA